ATTAAAAAGCTAAAAGGAAATCCCTAAAGAAGCTATATAAATAGATGTATTAATACCTTATTAGTTTTAATTCTTAAATTAAATTTATTTTCCTTTTATAAGTTTTATCTATTATAATTATTTGTCTTGAAAATATAGTAAAAGATGTCTTCGTAGTTGTTATTAATAGTTTGTTTGGCCTGTAATCTTCGCTTTAGAATTTGTAAAAATATAAATAAATATAGATTAGAATAATAATACCTTAAATATTATAATAAGCTAAGTTCTCAGCGATTATTAAATCTAATACTCATACGAATTCTTTTAATTGAAGCAAAATAATAGAAGTATAATAGAGTATATATACTATTTTATATACTCCTACTAAAATATATATAGATAAGGAAGATTAAGATCGAATTTTATATAAAGTTTAAAGGCTTATAATGAAAGTGTTCGACTTGACTACTTAGTTAGCGATATTTATGTTACGGGAGCTGCCTCTAGGGTCACGTGGAAGTGTCTAGAGTTCTCTCGAGGTGGTTTAGATTAGACTTCAAATAGGAATTCAATAAGGTTATAACTAATTGTAATTCTCGTAATTATAATAATGAAACTAATAATTGTTCTTAAGTATAAAGCTCTATATATAAAGAAACCCTTTTCTTTATATAAACTTTCACACTCTATTGTCCTATCAATCCCATTCACTAAGAGTAATAAGAGTGATAGGATCCCATTAATTTTATTAATAATAATCAATAGGACTAATAGGACGATCCATTATATAACACTAGTCCCATGAGTCTTATCGTCCTGTCTTATTTCCTGTCCTAGGGCTAATCCCTTAGGAGCTTACTAATCCTAGCAAGATCTCTTTTACTTACTATGCCCTATATTGCTTATTCTTCCTAGGACCCTATTATCCTAGAAACCACGTCCTATAATTCAGTATATTCTATAACTAATACTATATACATGCCTGAGGCGTCCTTAGGTGCCTAGTATCCCTCGGTATACTGCAGTTGAATCACCGAGGCCTATAATACCATTATAGCCTATAAGTTGGTGATTCTACAGCCTGTTACTTGATCCATCGTAACAATTTAGTAGACATAACTATATAAACGAATATATATCACTCTATAGATTTTTCTGACCGAGATAAAGTTGATGCAAAGGCTTGAAAGCTTAAAGGAGGGGTGAATATCCGATATAGTATTGTGATATAGTATTGTTGAGATGTGAATAAAAATCATATTTTATTGGGATTGATGGGGTTCGTCGTTATACTCACGCGTTTTATTCAACAAGGCGATGGTCTCATGTCAGGCACGCAAACCCTCACATCTATTCTGCCCGCCATATGCTACATTTTTTTCAGCCACTTTTGTTGTCAAGCCACATGAAGCACGATTAAGAATCTTCCATTTATCAAACTCTCTCGAGATATAATTTTAATTCGACCAAGTATCTACTTAGGTAAAGGGAGTACAGTGCTCAGCATAAGCTCACCACCTTCCATATCTTGTACCTCCAACTATCTATCTAGGTATGTAATATTATATCAATATTCTTCTGCATTCTGCTTACTTAGTACTCACTCTGTAGGTATCTCATACATATCAAGACAGAGATTGGTGTACCGGTTGTATGTAGATATCTATGTACTTTGTAGGTGTTTGGGTTATTTAGGGGGAGGGGATTTAATTAGAGAGGGAGGGAGAGGGAGGGTTGAATTTATGGTAGATGGGTTGTAGCTAGGGTTGGTGATTGAAAGCTGATAATTGATGATTGATACATGTTAGTGAGGTTGAGAGAGAGAGATGGGTGTATAACCTTAGGTAGGTAGGTAGGTAGGTAGGTAGGTATATAGCGAGTGCAATGAGGAGGAAAGTGTGTTATGTTATCAATCTTAGGATGAGAATGAGCAGTCAGATAGACAAACGATATACTCTATAATTCTAGAACTCCAATAACATTTTACGAAGAACGGGAGAGTGTGTGCCACTGTGTGGAGAACAAAGCAGAGGACCGAGTGACTAACTGACTGAATGAATGACTAGGTTCGTAGGTTACTAAGTTTATGGTTCGTGGATAGATGTGCAACAAATTGGTAAAATATCCGGCTGATAAATACGAGTACCTAGCTAGGTAGGTGGGTAGGTGTTTATTTTTGGGAGGGGGGCGGATTCGTATTGGGATCGTGATTGTGATGATTATGGATATTACGAATACCACTTAAGGTTATGGAAAAGGAGAGGAGGAAGAGGAGGGAGAGGAGGGAGAGGAGGAAGAGATGGATAGATAGATGAATACGGATTGGTTAGGAAAGGTATGGGATTGTACTGGTAGAGAGTAACATTTTGATGACATGATGTTGTTAGTAATACTAGGTAAGTTACTAGCCAGAGGTTAAGGGCGGGTGAGTAAGTGAGTGAGTGAGTGGAGAGTTGATCAAATCTGATTCGAATAAATGCATACTTTGAATCCCATTCTGGTTCATCCCGAGTCGGTGGTTGGTTTAGACGTGCAACAAATGAACGATATGATGAAGAAAGAGGTGTAAAAAGGGGTTGTCTATACCGGTACACGGTACGGTGTAGAGATGTGGAGTGGAGTAGAGTGGATTAAATACAATTTCTTAGCTGGGCTCGCTAGGCTGCTAGCACCGTATTCGAAGACTGTGCATCGTGCACAGAAGGTTGGAGAATCAAGAGATTGGCTTGAGATGTGCAACAAAGAGGTGAGGGAAATGAGATTTGGGAAGGGAGGGAATAGAGAGGTTTCCTTGGCTGAGAGGCGTGCAACAAATTGGTGGTTGGTTAAGGGGTGAGTGGTAGGTGCTGGTGATATGTGGAGATGATGGGCATCCTTTCTTCACCTCCTTTTGATGAGAGACGAGGGATGAGGATGGAGGGATGGGAATGTGTTTTTATTGGATTTGAGATGTGCAACAAAAGATTTTGGGTCTACTTTGTGAGTTTGGGGTTTGATGCTGGGTAGATGGGTGGTGGATGGTTGGTATAAATCATAATTCTTCATTATTATTATCATTATTATTATCAATATTATTATTATTATTATTATTATTATTATTATTATTATTATTATTATTATTATTATTATTATTATTATTATTATTATTATTATTATACTCCCCAAAATATGTAAATATAAATGTGAATATACATTAACAACTACCTAGATAACTTACAGTAACCCGTACACACATACTCTACTACCAACTACATACCCTGACTACCGATACTTTAACATCATTCGCTCAAAACAAAAAGATCATGTGTCCTCCCAAAATTCCATTACAATAAAAAGTATAAATACTCCGATATGCAACAAAAGCAGCCGATATCTTGAGTGCGGAAATTTGCATATTAAGATTGGATGATAGATATGCAACAAAAGTTGTTTCTTTCTCTTCTTATTTCTCTTTTGGGGGAGTTGGTCACAAGGGAGGAAAAGTTGGGTGTGGTATGTGTGGCTGATTTATTGATTGATTGGTATGGTCGGATGAAGACTCCACACACACAATTTTGCGATACGAGATGAGGAAGATATCTATAGGTAGGTGTCTAGGTAGGTAGTAGATGAATGATGAATGGTTGGTAATTGGTGAGGGATGGAGTGTTGTAGGATGGATGATTATGGCATGGTCAGCTGATTTGTTGAGGGGGTTGGGCTGAATTATAGGAGGGATTGGGATCTATGGAATGGTGAATGATAAGTTATGATTTTATTTAGAGATGGTGAATGGGGTATTGAGAAATGAAGGGGGAAGAAGAGGGGAGATTGGTGGATGGAAGGAGGGGGGGAAACAAGGGGAGAGGGGAGTGGTGAGTGAGAGTTGGTGAGGATGGGGGGAGAGAAGAGAAGATGGGAATGCTGGGAGGGGAGAGGGGGAAGAGGGTAGGAAAGTAATCAGGAAATAGTGAGTTAGGATCAGGGGAGAGGGAAGAGGCGAAAAGAGAGGTTTGATGTGTGAGAATTGGTGAGGAGGAGGAGAAAGTGCAAAAGAGGGAAGAAAAGTAAATCAGTAGTAGTACGAGTAGATAAGAAATAATAAGGAGGGGGAGGGATTTGGAAAGTTTAAGAAATGGTAAGAATATATTAAACCACTAGTACCATTCCAAACAACTCTCCCTAAAGACCCTCAAAATACATAAGACTATACTTATACTTATACTATACATTCCACATCAGATTCCTAGAATATCACAATCATACTACACCACAAACTCATTCCATATATCCTATTCTTAGCTATACCATCCTATCTTTTCTTCCCATATTATGTGGATATTTATATCTATCTATCTATTTGTGAATTATCTGTTTATTATCAGGACTCTGTAGAGGGAAGTTCGTGAAGAGAGGGATTCTGAGGGAGGAGATGTTTTTCAGGATTGGGAGAGGAAAGAGGAGAGGAGGGTATGAGTATATTGCGTTGTTGAAGGGTGTCATTATTACAAATGTTGACTTGATGATTATAATCATTAAAAGATTTCCCATTATCAAATTTCATTCAAAAGCTGGAAGGCTGTGAATCATGATACTCAAGTCGATGATTAACAAGCTCTCAACTATCCAATCTAGTTTAACAATCGGACATCTTTCAACTACTTTGATTCTTTGGATTGTCAAGACTGTAACCAACAATCGAAAACTTTTGAATAGTTGAACCAGAGCTAACGATTGAAAGCTTTCAAAACATTGAATTGAGTATCTTTTCTAGCAAATGTGCCATTTAAAACCATGTTTTCATTAATAGAGAAGGAAAACTTCGTAGCTATATACTGAATAAACTGCCATTCCTCCCACCCCATGATTGAATACCTAATCAATCGTTTAAGCTCAGATGCTCCGAGAACTCCATGATAATGTCAATAACACCTCGCTCGCAATTCCTAGCTGAAACTACCAAATTCCTCGCATTATACATCCAGGTAGCTTCTCCTGAATCCTTATATATCGGTAACAGCGGAGAACTCTTCCCAGATAGCCTAATGTGAAGCGGTATCCATCTGATCGCCATCTGATTCTTCCATTACCTCATTGGATGTCTCGCTACTTTCACACAGGAGCTCCATTTCCTCCGGGATTTCCTGTTGAACTACGGACCCAATGCTCATCATGACTCTAATGACTGTCTTCAAAGCAGTCTCTACGATTACAGACTGATCTTGATCTTCATCAATCTTCTTGAGCAGGTAGATTGCCTCTGCCAAAAAAGGACGAAGCAATCTGTGCTCGATGAACATATCTGCTTCCATGATTTGCTTCTTCAATGTGAGTAAATCAGTAGTAGGGAATTTCTCAAAACCGGGCCAAAGCTCAGCAATTTCATTGTTCATGGTCTCTGCATCATCCTCATCAAAATAATCGTTCTCGTTGTCAAGAAATTCCTCCAAAGCTGAGTTTGATGGAGCGAGCATTTCATTGAGATCCTCGTCAGCTTGCTCCATGATAAGCAATGCTTTCTGAAGATGCCATGATTCCGGTGTTCCCGGATCTGAGGTTAGATGGTAGCGAATGCTGTTCTTGAGAGATAGAACGGGGCCCAGTACTGCCTTAGTGGTATCTCGAGATTTTCCACAGCTGTCTTGTTTTGTCGACAACGCTGCTAGCAGTGCATTCAGAATAGCTTCTTTAGCAGCCAGCTTGTTCCATTCTGTAGATCTCCTATCCCTAGTTATCGAATTATCACGATACCTAGCTAAATAGAACACCTTTGATTGGGAAACAATCGTGGGGAGACAGAGACCATTTGGTGCAGGCTTCTCCATGATGAGAGCGTACAAATTCGTTCTCCTTGATCCAATCTCGTCTTCTGGTATCTCTGGGGTTACTACCAGATATGAAGCCATTGAATCAACCAAGTCAGCTTTGTTGCCGTCTTAAGCCTTTGTCCCTACGGCACCTCCTTTCTTTACCGTTGGGCATTTCTTCTCGATAGCAGCCGGCAGGTTAAAAAACGTGATTCCGACGACCAAGTACCTCTGAACCTCCGCGGTTTCCATCGAAAGTCCCTTCTCTCGCAAACTCAAACTCAACGAAGTTCTGTGGGTCTCAATCCCGTCCTGTTCCAAACTCTCCACGATGGTTTGAAGTTTTTCGAATATGGTGGATGCGCAATTATGAATGTGACATCGTTGGAGATATCTTCGGGCTTGGGGACATGCCATCCAGTAGTAGTGAAGACATATTCGCCCACTTGATGCTCTGCTGCCTTGGATGATCTCGTCGTCATGTAGAGTAAACCAGCACTGATAATGGATGCAAATCGATGCTAGTAAACTGGAATGTGTACTCACCTTGAACTGGGGATATGGTGTGGAAAATTTTGATGATTCTCCGATCTTTAAGAAGATCGAGGATGGTTTAGAAGTATTGAGTAATGACAAGGACAATTCGAAGTCTAGGGAGAAGAAAGATGTAGTTTAAATAGGTAGTATATGGATTGAACTTGAGATGGAGATGTATCAGATAATGAGGTCGTTTGTTTTGAAGGTGAGAGTAGATGAGAGGAGAAGGTGAGAGCAGGTAAGAGCAGGTAAGAGCAGAAGGTGAGAATATATGAGAGTATATGAACCGAATATTTCTTCCATTGGCATATGAACTAAAAGGGAAGGAGGAGGTTTACGAAAGCGGAGAAGATGAAGATGGAATCATCTTCTGCGGTGTATGACCCACAGTTATTCACTGAAGATGCTTGAAGCAGACTTGACTTCTCCTCCTTCATATTATCTCCTTCATACCATCCCCTCATTTTAACTTTCTCCAACCATGTTCCATCACAGAGTTACTTCCCCTCAGCTTGTAACTTCACAAGTCTCAAATCAAGAGTGGACAAAGCTATTAACAGCTTGGATGAGATCAACATTGTGGTCCATCAACCAGACAGACCTATTACGCAGATGGGTTTATTCAAGATCTTAGACCTAGCATTGTTTTGTTAGAAAGCATTGAAGAAAGGATACACGACGCAGAAGCCTGAAAGATCTTGGCGAGGGGCGAAGGAGAAGAAAAGCAGCCACTTATCATAGTCTCTTAGCAAACTACTTGTAGGAGAAAAAACAGACCCATCCCGAATCGACTACTAAAAAATCCCACCAACGATCCAATTATTCCATCTCCATTCGAGAATCAAAACACTAAATGTTAGTACGACTAACGACTACCTAGGTATCTAAGAATTCTTTTCAAGATGACTAGTATTAACATGATTAACAAGTAAAAATTACTCCAGTCTATTGTGATCATAATCATTCTTGATCATTATTAACTATAAGAAGATAGTACCACAAGTGGGTGTACGGACTGACAGGACATTACAAAAATTGATATGTAAATATCTCTTAATATATTGAGATAATATCTTCTTAAAAATTGTTTGAATTGTTTATTGGAATTGAAACAATCAAAACATGAATTTTGATATCAAAAAATCGGAGAATGAATTTATTAAAAATTCCGAAAATTTGGAAGCATCCCGTCAACTCATGCATTTACTGGTGTACCTACTTACATAAGAAAGCGCTAGCGAGGCGCTAGCTAGTATAGCGCCCGTTATGCTTACATGATCGATATTCCAATAATACTATTATTCAGGATGATCAATTCTGGCCTTTTTTCCCCCTACATATAATCAGGCTAAGGCTGCTCCAATCATTACTACCGATATCAATACATTAGCGAATGATCTCAAAAAGCCTCTAAAAAACTGAAACAAATCATACTATAATAATCAATATTCTAATAATACTATTGTTCAGGATAATCAATTCTGGCCCCTTCTTTTTTCTACGTATAGACAGGCTGAGGCTGCTCCAATCATTACCACCGATATCAACACATTAGCGAATGACCTCGAAGAGCCCCTGAAATAATCCAAGCTGCAGTATCATGATCATTTCATTAGCACACTCGTGATTGCATTTTCATATATGGATATATAGCCACTTTCTACACATCCACAGACCACCATTCAAGCTATGATAACCTCTAGTATATACAAATGAAGAAAGAGTAAATAGTAGTTCTGACCCGGAAAATCAATGAAAGCGATGAACTATGCAAGTGGAGAGAGAGGTATCGCGTTTATGATCACTGCATTTGTGGAAGAATTGAATTAGATCAGATAGATCTTAAAATCATATATTCATTAAGCATTATGCAACATATAGACAGACCCGTGAGCAAATCCAATACTCCTCCATCCATACTAGCGGAAGCACTACTTTGCTATATCTACAACGCATGGAAGATATCATAACGAAACTATAGCACAGCGATTTCCATATCCAAAACTATCCCAAGCAATTATCCCTCATAAGCATTACCTAGTTCTCTCTTTTCCTACTAGGGGGGACGAAAGGCTGTGTTGTACGACTGGCCCAGCCATTCATTCTCCTTTTGACACCGAGTGTCTTTTTGACGCCGCTCGATCCTTGTGCTATTGACATGCTAGTGGTATGCATTGTTCTCGCAGGACGAACCAACGACATGATTGCAGGTTTTGCTGTTAGACCAGGCGGAGGGACTTCTGGCGCCGGTTCAGCAAGTATTCTAGGTTGTTTTGCTCTCGGTGGAGAGCTAGACAGGAATATATAGTTATTGTCCTGTTTTTCTTGAATTCGATTAACATTTGGTCGAGATAGGGCAGCAGCAGTTCCTAGACGATGACCGGAAAAAAGTGGAGGGAGAGATTCGCTATCATTTTGCGACGTCAATTGCATCAGTCCTTCGGAGATTGTGTTTCGTTGTCTATGTAATTGCGCAACAGCCCTGATCTTTTCTTCTCGATACTCATCGACTATGGGCGCTGGCTTAGCATCCTTTTGTGGCTCTTGCTTCCCCAAGAACCCCAAGAGCGTACCCTGGCTAGTAGCTAGACCTTTGATTGGCCTTTTAGAGCCTTTGGCTTTCTCAATTGTTGAAGCTGATTTGATTTCACCCCTGATTTGCTTCGATGGTTGCTCGCCAAGAACCTGAAGATGAGAGCCAGCACTAACAAACCCACTACCCAAGGTAAACTTGGAGGCTCTTTCCATGGTTGTCGTGGGCGTGTTGTTATAAACCACGCTCGAAATGTTTCCCGTTTGGTCCGCTCTATCAGCTCGTCGACGTTTAGCAGGTCGCTGACCCATGTTAAAAGTGGGGTTGCCATTGCCAACATTCCATTTCGACTCGTCCTCTTTGTCATTCTCCGGTTCTAAGGGGTAATACGTATCTTCAGTTCGCTCTAGACAAGCAGAAGATTCCGCAATTGATTCTCTAGTCGGAAACGGTCGTCGGAGGATCTGAGCAAGGCATTGGACAGTATTTGAACGTAGCGAAGCGCCCTTGTAGTCTAAATGTGCTCTTAGGCCACGGGCAGAGAGAAAGGGACAAGTTGTTGTCAACTCTTGCAATGAATTTTTGAGGGGATAACTCATGCTAAGTAATGCCTTAGCTCGAGTCATAGCTACGTACAACAATCTTCGTTCTTCGTCAGTGTCCTCTGCTCTAGAGTGTGGTATACTGCCTTGATATGCACCAGGAATGAAGACTATTGGCCATTCTAGACCTTTAGCAGCATGTATGGTAGATATTGTGACTTGAGGTGTGTTATGTGTTTTGTCTTCCTCCTTCGTTACTTCCGAAGCTAGTGCCACATTTGCTAAAAACCGAGAGAGGGAATCGGAAGCATCTTCTTGTTTCAAACCATCAATTTGGGGGAGCGATTCATCCTCATAACCATTGGATATAAGCTCTTGGAAGTCTGCAGCCTGAGTCATAAGCTCTTTCACATTGTCCCACTGTGCTTTAGTAATGTCACCACGGTGCTCCTCAAGCCAGGTCTCGTAAGATGTTTTCTCTATAATAAACTCCAAAATCTTTACAATTGAATTTTCCTTGTTTGAGGGATCCGCAACTTTCTTCATACCCGTCAAGATGATATCAACAAAGACCGAAAGATTTCTCTCGACTGATGGCGTGAGCTTGGTTTTTGTTGCGCGTCTGCCCTGCACGGACTTGAGGATTAGTGACCAAAGGGTAAGTTTAGATTGCTCTGCTTCTTCAAGTAGAGCTTTTATGGTTACTTCGCCGATTCTTCTCGAGGGAGTGTTGATGATTCTCGCCAAAGCATCATTATGATCAGGTAAATCTATCACTCTCAAATAATCCAATAACGTTTTGATTTCTATGCGATCATAAAATCGAAGACCGCCTGCAATATGTTAGCCAAAGGTCAGTCGCATAGCTGCCTTTTAGAAGGAGGCGCTGATCTGGCTGTAAGCTGCACAGTTGGTAGAAGAGATAATGCTTACCAACCATACGGTAGGCTATACCTGCTTTGCCTAACGAGCTTTCGATTATTCTTGAAAGTGCCGAAGATCTTAACAAAATAGCGAAGTCATTCAAATCTAGTAGGTCGCCTGTCATACCCATTATTCTTTGTATCTCTTGAATGATCCAGTCTGCTTCTGTCTGAGCACTTGCAAGTTTGCGGAGAACTGGTCGTGTGCCGACAACATGAGTAGGCAAAAGAGACTTTGCAATTCTGGATGAGTCTTGCTCAATTACATTCAGTGCTGTGAGTAGTATGGCGCCAGATGACCGGTAATTCTCCTCCAACGAGATGGTAACTGTATCCGGATATTGTGTAATCATTCTTTTGTAGTTTTTAGTTTCGGCAGCTCGAAAGCTATATATGCTTTGATCGGGATCTCCAACAATGGTGATTCGTTTTTGAGATACAGCAAATAATCGCATGAGATCAAATTGCACCAGGTTTGTGTCTTGAAATTCGTCAATCAAGACGGCTTCAATGTTGGCTACACAGGAAGGATGGAGTCGTAAAAGCTTGACACATCTTACAAGC